TGTAAGTTATTTGTTATTTTATATTAGGCATAGCCTGCCCTATAGCATGGTGTATTTTTATTCGTTTTGTTAATAAAAGTTCTATGTTTTATATATAGGCTAAAGTGAGTTTGACGTTGTATTTTGTTGCTGCATTCAAGCAACTGACGCCGACTTGCCGCTAATTCGAAAGTGAAAGTAAAATGTGCACGCCACTTTTGCAAGCTATTTAAAAGCGAAGGAAAGCGAAGAAAAGAGGAAACGCCCCTGCCCCCACGGTGATACCGGTATTATCGGTGTTGTCACACGTCGATTAACCGGTGGGAAAATTTCCTCACCGTCACAACCCTAGTAAACACTGGGGAGGAGTTCTCTTAACTGTCCCGAAGCTGTCTTGCCAGTGGCCCATTCTTATTTTTATGTCCTGATATTGCAATAAAGTACTTTACTACTACTGCACAACTACTATGACAATCTAATAGAAACCAACATCTTCTGGCAGTTAATCGAGCTCTCCACCTTTTTTCTCTCCTTTTCTCACTCTCCGGTGTGTATGCGCTTGTGTGATTTCACCATTAGGTTTGACTACTGTGCCGTTTCTCGATATGATGACAATTTCCTGCTGAGGTGCATGTCAAATGAAAAATAGTATGAGATGTGTGAACCACATGGTCAGAAAGGTTCACAGCTTGTGAATGCAGATTTCATTCATCCATATGTTAGCAAAGAGCGTAGCACTAACATGAAATGAGCTTTTTACCAAGCTTCTTGATTTCAACGTAAAATTGGCATGTTACTTAACTCCATCCCAGCATGAGACTCTGGCTTTTTTGTTGAAGGATTTTGCGTTGAATGCTCCTGTCAGAATGAGCTACATAGAAGTTAGCATCTTTGTAGTAAATGCTTGTGATGGCTTTTAGGTGAACTCTTCCTGAGTTCTATAAAAAGCCATTGCACAGCTGGAAAAACAATCATCATTGTCAAAGTTTATATTGCAAGTATGAGGCTTCTTTGTCAATTCAAAAGCCAATGTGTAAAGGACATAAAGTAAGACTCTATCGCTTTACAGGGACCTATAACTTAATGCTCTTTACTTTTCAAATTGCTCTTACAGCCTTCAGTGAAAAGCGCAAAGAAGTGCTTGACAGGTAAATCATTTATATGCAGTCAATAGTGATATTATAGCAGTTGTGTAAGACCATCTAAAAGAAATTATGATAGTTTTATGCTAACAAAGAATGTCATAAATGGTGCCAAATCGAGTCCATTTTATCACATTGGGGGACTGGACTGGCAGTTCTTATATATTTGCCAGTTAAGTTACAGTTAAGTTGTCAGAAGAGTGACTCATAGTTACTAAAACTAAGTTAATTAAATATATTTTGTATTTATGTATTTATTTATTCTGTTTTTGCCAAGCTACACACACACACACACACACATATATATATATATATATATATATATATATGACCATTTATTCTCTAGAATGGCGTTTGTCTGTCTGGGGTCCGCAAATAAGCATAGTCTTAGTGGGAAAAAAAATCAGAATTGAACAGAATGCTCATTGAAAAATCATGGCAAGCAATATATATATATTTTTTTTTACAGCTGCCTGGGTTCCAGGAGTATATTCATTTATTTTCTCCACAGGGATTTAAGCAATTCTTCAGTATGGAGTAATTCAGGAAAGAGTTTTAAACCTTGAAACCAAAACAACCAGCTCTAAATGAATCACAACGTTACATGATTTGATTCCAAGATAAAAGTTTTGGAAAATCAGACAAATACAAAGCTACAAGACTGCATCTTTTTATGAGGCACTAAGCTATATCCCATAAAGCATTGCAAATGATGTAATAAAATCAGCAATGATGGTATGATATAAAACTATTGACTTAAACTCATGAGAACAAAAGTACAATATATTAGAAGTTTGTTAAAAATATTGACATGTGTACTTCTACTGAAGTATTTACCATCGCTTAACATCCTCAGAGCTCACAGTTGTCTTCCTTGAAAGATTTGTACATTATTGCAAAAAATCAATTTCAGAGAAAATGAGTGAGATTTTTTTTTTCAACCTGTTCAACAAACACCCTCAATATTGTATCAAAA